GGGGGGGGGGGTCTTCAGCGAGGCGGATGGATATGTGAAGGGGAGGGTACAGCAAAGAGGGAACCGGGCTCTTTCAGTGGTATCCACCGATGGGACAACAGGCACAAATGAAAAAACAGGAAATTGCATCTGAACACGAGAAAACACTTTTTCTGCTGTGGGATTGATCAAACGCTGGCACGGGATGCCCAGAGAGGCTGTGGAGTCTCCACCCGAAAAGATATTCAGAACCCACGGGTTGAGTACCTCCATGACCCTGGGCAGCTGCAGGTGAGCCCCCCTGCGCTCCATCCCAGGGGTCTCTGCCAGCCCCAGCCATGCTGCAGCCAGCCAGCGCCAAAGCCCATCTCCACCCCTGGCCGTGCCCCGCATTGCTCCCTGCCTGGTGGCACGTGGCCTGCCCGGGGCTGGTGAGGGGGGGGGGGTCTTCAGCGAGGCGGATGGATATGTGAAGGGGAGGGTACAGCAAAGAGGGAACCGGGCTCTTTCAGTGGTATCCACCGATGGGACAACAGGCACAAATGAAAAAACAGGAAATTGCATCTGAACACGAGAAAACACTTTTTCTGCTGTGGGATTGATCAAACGCTGGCACGGGATGCCCAGAGAGGCTGTGGAGTCTCCACCCGCAAAGATATTCAGAACCCACGGGTTGAGTACCTCCATGACCCTGGGCAGCTGCAGGTGAGCCCCCCTGCGCTCCATCCGCCGGTGCCTGGGGTGTAAAGATAGCCCCAGTGTCGCCAGCCGGATGTTTGTGAGGTTTCTCAGATGCACTGCCCTCTCCCCACTCACATTTTCCATTATGCAAGCATCGCTCTCGCCCGCCAGTGGCTGGGCAGGGTGGGAGAGCTGCAGCAGTGCCCACTGGTACCGGGCACAAGGGGCAGGGGCGGACCGGCACAGGGCAGGCTGGCACGGGATGCCTGCCAGCAGGATGCCCGGGGGCTGGGGGTGGCTGTAGATAGGGAAGCACAAGCTCATTTCTAAAAAGCAGCTGAAGATCGTGAGTGCTGGAGGATGAGGTGTAGGGCGGATCGTCCTTCTTCTGGGGGCTCCTTCCCTCATTCTTCTCCCCATTAATCCTCTGTCCCCTTTCGACAGCCTGAGTGGTGCCTTGTGGCACCACGCAATGGCGTGTCAGGGCCAGTGCTGGAATCTCCTTCCAAGGATCCCCCCAGCACTGGGGAAGAGGGATTTGGGGTCCTGCAATGAACGGCAGCAGGCGATATCCTCGGGGAGCGTGGATGCAGCTGAGCCTGCGGGGCTGTGGCACCCCTCAGGCACCAAGCCCCCCGTCCGCCCAGTCCCGGAAGAGCTCTGCCATATCGCAAAGCCTGATAAGGTTTCTAACCGACTCCAGCCCACGGGTTGCCCAGCAGATGCTGGTGGCCCCACGGCCGGGCTGTTTGCAGGGCTGCCAGCTCTCCCCTGCTGCCCCGGCACCCACCGGCTCAGGAGGGGGATGAGCTCTGACCCGACTGGACCCCGGCACGTGCCTGGCGGGTTGCTGCGTTCGGAGGAGGGCGGCTGCCCAGGATGATGCTGGTGCAATGCAGGTTGGTGGTGTTTGGTCCCCTCTCCTCCTTCCCAGGCAAGGCACTGCGTTGCCACGGGGCCAAGCAGATCTCATCAGGAGCAGTGTAGGGCAGCAAGCTGGGTGGGCAGCCAGTGTGGTGCCCACCAGCCATATGTGCTAGCATTTCTGAGTAACTCAGCCTTCCTAGCTCTTCTCCAGCAGCTCCTTCGCTGTCCAGGCTGATCCCAGCAGGAAAACCCTCCTGCCCCAGTTGTGGTCAAGCCTGGCTGCACTGTTGGCTTTCCCCGGGGATGGCGGCAGCAGAGCTGGGAAAGTGGGGTGGGGGTTCAAAGCAGCATCCCAGGGCTCTGCCTTGGGGCTGAGGGAAGAGCTGGCATTTTAGGGTGCACCCTGCTGGGGTGCGGTCCCGGAGGTGGGCAAGCTCCCCCCGGCTGCGCTTCAAGCCTCCTTGCCTGTGCCAAGCACACAGCCAGCCTGCAGCCTGATGGCCCCTGGGGACCAGCCCAGTCCTGGCAGGGCACGTTGCCGGTGGCCGCCATCCTTCCAGGGCTATTTTTAGCTGTGTCCCCTCCAAGGCCTCAGTGCCGCTTGCCCTCCGGCAGCTGTGGCTGAGCCGGAGGTGGCAGTTTCTCTGCAGGCCCCTGGTGGTTTTGTTCTTGCCTTCACCTCCCCACCCTGCATCTCTGGGACCCCCCCAGTGCCGGGCACATCCCATCTGGTGCTGAGCCCCCCGGGCTGGAGAGAGCAAGGAGGGTCCCTGAGATGGGGTAGGGGAGGGCTGGGGCAGAGACCCCCGTAGAGGGGAGGCGGTCTCAGGCTGGTGGCCAGGCAGGTTGCACGTGGCCCTGGGCATCGGCATGCCACGTTGCCGCCTCTACTGCTGGGATGGAGGCAGCATTGGCTCTGCCGTGGCTCCCTGCGGCACTGGCTGGGGCTAGGGCTCGGTTCAGGGTGCAGGTGGCACCCCACGCTCGGGGCTGTGCAGTGGCCAGGACAGAGCTCCCACCCCAGTGGCTGGGGGTTGTCAGCATCCCCAGAAGCTCTCTGGGAGGAAGAGGCAGCCCCTACCCTGTGCTGTGGATGCGTGGCTCCTGCTCCTGAGAACTATAGGGTACCTAACAGCCACTTGCTATAGGGGACTGCATTATTGTGGTGACCCTGGAGCCCTGGCTGGGGCTGCGGGGGAGCCAGCACAGCAGGGGTGATGCCACCCTGGCATGTCCTGCCCGCTGCTTGCCCCAAGTGCCGGCCTTTGCCCTCCCCACCCCTTTCCTGTTTGCAAAGGGGAAACGATGGGCTCGCTTGACACTGCCCGCTGCAGCATGGCTTCCCACTGTGTGGCGGGGTCTGCTGGTGGCCTTGGCCATCGGGTGCCCCCCAGGTTTCCTCCTGTCCCTAGTGCCAAAAGCAGGGGTCCAAAACTGCTGAGCCACTGGGGAGCTGCTCCTGGCACAGGGCGGCACCAGGTGCTCCTGGCTGAGCCCCACAGGCAAACAATCTTGTTTGTGGGGATGGTGCATGCTAGTGAGACCCCGAAACAGCCCTCTGGCACCCTAGGCAGAGTGACTTGTGTGCCTGCTCAGGCAGCATGGCACAGATGGGCTCCATGGCTTGTTTCAGAGGGGGACCTGCCTCATTTTCCCCAGGGAAGGGGCTGGCTGGCTGGCCCCACACTGACAACATCGGGACCAACTGAGCCTGTGCCCCATCACGTCGGCGTTGGGAGTGATGGAGGCTGGACGGGCAGCTGCAGGCGTAAGGGGTTGTGTGGCAAGATGCTGTGCACAGCGGGGCAGAAGGCTTGGGCTTTGCTGCCGTGCCTGGGGCGCCCTGGGCATGTTTCGGGAAGAAGGCAAGGGTGGAGGTGGGGAGAGGTGCCCTAGAAGCTTCTCTGCACCAGCTTTGCCACCCCACACTGGGATGCTGGTGATTAGTCTGCACTGGGCGGAAACTGAGGCGGCATGCCCCCCCATAGCCATAGCACTGCAGGTGTCATAAAACTCTTGCGGGTGTCATGGTGGAGGCAGTGGGGGTTCTGCCCTAGCCTGGGGCTGGCACAGTGCTGGCAGCTGCGTTGCCGACCCTGGAATGGCTGTGACTGTGACATCCTGGGGCCAGGCGATGCCTTGTTGCCGCTGGCTGCCAGGAGAAATTGCTGCAGCGGCCGCAGTGGCGTGGCTGGGGGCATTTCAGCTCTGGCCCCCTCGCAGGAGGGGATGCCGCCCCCCCAGGCAGCCTTCCTGGCTGTATCCTGCCACCCACGTGGCCCTGGAGCCAGGCAGAGCTGAGTGCCCGTGCTCCGCTGCAGTGCTGGCTCTGACCCCTGCTGCAATAGCCCCGAGCCACTGTCACCGACCTGCCGCTTCTTCCTTCTTGTCATCACGTTTTCCTGCTCCTCACTATCAGGGGCTCCCCCACGCCACTCCTCGCTGCCACATGCTGCCTGTCCTTTGCAGCAAAAGTAATGATTGCAGCAAACCCAGAGCCTGTGCCCGCATCCGCCGCATGCAAACAGGTGTGGTGGAAGTGGTGCTTGTGGCCGGATCCCACCTGGCCATGGCAGGACCCTGCCCTGTCCCCTCCTGATGTAGGGCAGGGACTGCTAGGGTGCATGGTATGTGGGTTTGGGGGTTGCAGCTGGACCCCCCTGGAAGGCTGCATTCCCCTTGCTGGCTGTGTCGCAGCCTGGGCTCGGGGCATCTCTGGGCTCACCATCTCCTCTGTGTGCTCTTGCAGCCAAGAGGCTGGGGAGGGGACGCGGTGGGTCCCTCGGTGCTGGCACTGGGGACACCTGGGCTGTTTAAACCTGCACCAACACTTGCAGGCAGCACAGTGACCGACCACAGCCAAATCCTGCGCCAGTCCTGGGGCAGGGTAAAGCGTTGATAGGGAGTGGTAAAGGCTTAAAATTTCTTTCTCCGAACCCAGGGCTGCCAGCTGGAAGAGAGCCAGGGACATCCCGGTGCATGCTCTGGGGGGCTCAGGGAGGGCTCAGGCATTTGGGGGAGTTGTGGCTCAGGGAGCGCCCCAGGTGGGATTTTGGCTTCTTTGTGACCGTGGAGGCTCCTGCTGCTCCTGGTGCTCTGGCCGTCTCGTTCAGAGCCGTGGGGCAATGGATTAAGGCTGAGGCCAGGGGCTGGTGTGTTTGCAGGCTGGTAGGTGCCTGGGTACCACCTCTTGCAGCTGGGCACTGGTGCGCTGAGCCCCGGGGCTGCGGTTCTCTCGTGGTGCCCTCGGTGCCCAGTGCTAATTCGCTGTTAAATGTGCCGTGTCGTTGTCTGCCGGGATCTGATACAGCCGCTGCTGCGGCTAATTGCAGAGGAGCAGCTGAATGGGGCTGCCGGCGGTGTTTAAAGAAGATACAATCAAAGATTAGGCAGTGCCAGAGCATCTCTGCCACCCCACTCGGCACAGGCCCGTAGCTGCCTTGCAAACACTAATTAATTGAACCTTGTAAACACCACTGTGATGAGGGTAAATATTGGCAGGTGCTGCAGATTAGGGCGGGCGCAGGCCGGGCGGCCAGGCTGCAGGCATGTGGGGATGCAGGGATGGGCTGCAAGGGCTGCCCTCGGCCCCAGGCTGTCGCCTCTGGGGGCTGCGGGCGCCAGGCAGGGCCGGCCGCGGCCCAGCCGGCTGGTCCCCAACCTGGCAAAGGGGCTGGGGCTGCAGTGCCCAGCTAGTGCCACCCCCAAGGTGCAGTCCTGGTGGCTCTGGGGCATCGGTGTCCCCCCCAAGAGAGCTGTCCCGGTGCCGGCTCTGCCCTTGGCTTCTGGGGAGCTGTAGCAGGTCGAGGCACTCCTGGGCGCTGCGCTGGGGATGGGAAGGAGGTGGCTGGCAGCGGTGGCTCTGTGCTGCTGGCGACCTCCGTATGCCGCACCGCCGTGCCTGGCAGCATCCAGTCACACGAAGTGCCCACACATCCGAATCACACGAAGTGCCCAAGGCCCAGGGTACGGCAGGCAGTGGGCATCATTTACCAATTTATCAATGTCCCATCTGTGCTCTGGGCACTGCTTAGCTCCTGGGGACCCAGGGACCAGTGTCACCAGAGCAGGGGGGCAGCTTTGGGGGTCCTGGGGGCTGCGGGAGCTCATGATCCTGTGGTCTCTGCAGAAGAGCGTGAAGGAGGGGCTGTTGCTGAAGCAGACGAGCTCCTTCCAGAGGTGGAAGAGGCGATACTTCAAGCTGCGGGGCAGGACACTCTATTACGCCAAGGATGCCAAGGTAGGCTCAAGGGGGCTTCCAGCATGCTCAGCCGGGGGCGATTGAGCCTGCAAGCCCGGGGAGGAGCCCAAAATCCCTGCCTGGTGGACTGGGGCTCTGTTTTTTTCCCCGCAGTCCCTGATCTTCGACGAGGTGGACCTGTCTGATGCCAGCGTGGCTGAGACCAGCACCAAGAACATCAACAACAGCTTCACGGTGAGGGAGGTGTGGGGCTGCCCGCATGCCCCTCCACCTCAGCACCCTGCGGGCAGGCACCGCAGACCCCTCCCCACAGAACTGTGGGGCACCCCGCAGCGTGGCCTCGTGCTGCGAGAGGTGGCACCCATGGCGGTCTGCAGGCTTCGCTGGAGGCTGCTCTCCTGGGGGCTGGCTGGCCGCGGGGCGGCCTCACAAGGGGACACAGGGACGGTGGCTGTTGCAGGTGATCACACCATTCCGGAAGCTCATCCTATGTGCAGAGAACCGGAAGGAGATGGAGGACTGGATCAGCGCCCTGAAATCTGTCCAGAAGTGGGAGATCCATGAGGTGATGCAGGCAGGAGGTGGTGCGGGTGCTTGTCTGCGAGTGGGTACCCCTCAGGAGCTGGGGGTGCCTTTGGCTGCCGGACAGGAGCTGCTGCCCTTGGCACAGCCTGCGGGGAGGACGGGAGCCAGGGGTGGGGCTGGGGGGGACTCGGGGGGTCTAGGAGGGAGGGAGCGCCGGCTGGGGGTCCCAGGGGACTGATGGGGCAGGGCTGTGCCCCCCAGCAGGCCACGCAGTTCAACATGGAGCACTTCTCGGGCATGCACAACTGGTACGCCTGCTCCCATGCCCGCCCCACCTTCTGCAACGTGTGCCGTGAAGCCCTCCCGGGGGTCACCTCCCATGGCCTCTCCTGCGAAGGTCAGCGCCAGGGTCCTGCTGCGGGGGTGGGCTGGGGCTGGGACCGGGACCGGGGGACCCTCTCCAAGGCTGGCCCGGAGCAGGAGGGATACGGGGTGATGCCCACTGACTGCCGGGACAGCACCATCACTGGCTGCGGAGGGGTTGGGGACCAGGGCTGCCCATCCCTTGGGGACCCTCCCTGCTCCTCACCTGCTCCCCCCTGTGCAGTCTGCAAGTTCAAGGCACACAAGCGCTGCGCCGTCAGAGCCACCAACAACTGCAAGTGGACAACCCTGGCCTCCATCGGCACAGACATCATTGAGGATGAGGACGGGGTAAGCAGGGGAGTCCCCGGGGGGGACCCTGGCAGAACAGAGCCACCAGCAGAGCCGGCCTTGCTGCGCCCAAATCAGGAGCAAGGGGGTACACTGGCACCCAGGTGTCCCTCGTGCTGTGTGGCCTCTGGGCTTGGCTCTGCGGGGACCTGGCCTGGGGATACCTCCTCTGCCACCTGCCATCAGGATCCCTTATTGCTCTCCAAGTGGGGGCCACCTCCAAAGGTTTGCTGGGGACGCCCGCCCCCTGCCCCACATGCTGGTGGCTGCAAGGGGCCAGGCAGGCAGGAACGAGAGGGCACGGGAGGGGTCCCAGCGCTGCCTTGCCCTGTTGTGGGGCACCATTCCTTGCCCACCTTCCGCGGTGCCTGGGGAAGGGGGTGGCCTGTGTCACTGTCCCTCAAGTGCGCGGGGGCGGCAGGGGTGATGTGGCGTCGGCGACTGCTCCTCTCCGCAGGTGGCCATGCCCCACCAGTGGCTGGAGGGGAACCTGCCTGTCAGCGCGCGCTGTGCTGTCTGCGACCGGACCTGCGGCAGTGTCCGGAGGCTGCAGGACTGGCGGTGTCTGTGGTGCAAGGCCATTGTAAGGATGCGCCTGTCCCTGTCCCCCCACCCGTGGCACAGACAGCACTGCCCCTCCTGGGTGCATCGCTGGGGATGCTGAGGCCGGGGGCTGTGGTGCTGCGTCCCCTGGCTTTGCTTATGCACATGTTCCTGTGTCCCCAGGTTCACAGTGCCTGCAAGGAGCTCTTTGGCAAGAGGTGCCCCCTGGGCCAGTACAAAGTGTCCATAATCCCGCCAACCGCCTTGAACAGCATCGATTCGGATGGTGAGTCATGGAGGGGACAGGGCTGGGCTGCAGGTGGTGGGGACGGGCTGTTTGGGACAGGGCTCTGAGCTCTCTGAGTGCCTCTGCGGGCTTTGACTTGTGGCACTGTGCCTGCTTTCCTGTGGGGCACCGGGGACACCACCATCAGTAGGCTCCAGAGTCAACGCCCCTCCCTGCCGCGCCCTTGGTTGAAGGCTGCCTGTTGCCTTGCACTCTGCCCCAGGGCTGTGGCAGTGCCGACTGTGGCTTCAGTTGCTCCTGCCAGGCTGCCTCTCGCGGTGGCCCTGGTTGCGGTCCCTCCGTGCTGGGGTCAGCGGTGCCAGCCCTGAGCCCCTGACGTGGGGTGCCCCCCGTTGCACCCCAACGGTTCAGCGCCTTGCAGGGCAGAATGAGGCCCTTGCTTGGGTTATTTCTCAGTGTCTGAACCTCAGCTGCTTTTTTGGTAGCGCAGAGCACAACTTACCCCCGGCACGGGTGGCTGCGGGGCGCTGCGGGGAGAAGCAATGTGCAGTCCAGGAGGGACCCCTCCCTGCTGTCTCCCTCGCCCTCTCCGGAGGGGTCCAGCTGGCCTCCTCTGAGCAAAATCTGTTCTTCTGCTCTGGATATTTCTTTCCTTGTTCTTTAATGATTTTCACCGCTCGGCTCAGCCGGTGGCTCATCTGCTTCTCGTTACTCATCGGGATGCTGTCAGGGTAACCATCACGCGGCTTCTCCTCCGCCTTCAGAGCCACGGCTGCTCGCGGCTGGCTCCCTGGTAGCGTCTCTGCCCTGGCCCTCTCATGGCAGCCCAGTCAACTGAG